TCCAGTTGGCTTGGAAATGACGATCGATGACATTTCCCATATAATTTCACATATAAAATGACAGCGATCTTCATTTCATAGCCATCGCTGACGCCGCTTTTATTCGATCATACGGTATTAAAATGTAACACTTACGAACCCAAGCAGCATTTGGACGTCGGGACAACGTTGTGTCACGCGACCAAACGTCGGGGCGCAACGTCGGCACAACCTCGTGCCAACCCTAGTCTGCACTAGTTTGGAGAATAATTTTTGGGTCGAAACGACGTTGGATACCGACGTTGGCTAGAAGCCTAATTTAGTACAAACTGCAACGTTGTTTAAAATCCTAATTCATAGAAATACAAAACTAATATGGCGTCTAAGTCGCGTTTTATCCTAAATTGGGATAATTATAGTAAAAATATTATTTTTATGATTTAGTTAGAGACATATGTCAGATGGCAGTGAAGGAAAACAAAACAAAAGTATTTAAGTGTGGAGGATGTTTGAAGATCATAATTATTGAAACACTTTAACCGACTCTGTAACTCGTTACCCAAGGCAAAAAAGTTAAACGCAAACAACTTTAAGATTTAAGGTTATGGTTCAATACAGTTGCAAAAAGGTAGTGACTCGACGTCCTACCAACGTAAGAATAAGGAAATCTAAACAACGTTGGAATTAGTAAAACAGACGACGTTTGCATAACGTTGGAATAGGTCCTGAAACTGACGTCGGAAAACTCAATATTGTCCAACGTTGTAACTACGTTATCCGAATCACCTAAAGATCACTTAAGCAAAAAAGGTTACAAGACAACGTTTATTCGACGTCGCAGAAGCTTCTACTTTGCTGTAGTACTAGTCCAACGTCGGCACAACGTTATAAAAACGTTTAAATTTATTTTAATACCCAAGGTAGAGAGCTAACTATTTTTTGTAACTAATCCAACGTTGTGTTTAGTAAACATGTGGTCGCAAGTCGTGAAAATGCTACTTGGGAAGTTAAGAAATATTAACTATTTCTATTTAATCATTTAATAATTATTCTGATAAAAACACGCTTGATTTTTTATTTTAGAAATCATACAGGCTATAATCATTAATATGACTATATTAACAATACTTAAATTAAAATTTATTTGAAGGAATGCTACTTGAAGTATTAACTCGGAATAATTATTAAAAACTGCTCATCGCGTTATCGATGTCGGCGTCTTGTCACTGTTGTCTGGCTGATTGGCCGTTTAGGTACCTATAATTTGATTTCAGATAATGCAGATTTTAATGTGCCATTTGTGGATTTTTATTGATATTTTTTTACATATTTGGTATACTCTATGAAGTGCTCATGTCCATTTTTCAATTATTAAAGTGCTTATTTAGATACATTTAAAGTTAATTAATTAGTGTATAGTAATTGAATTATGGGTTTGTTTATTTTTTATGAAATGTATTTTTTTTTCTATTAAAATAAACATAGCTTTACTTACAAAATCACTAGCTAGCCATTTTTAAATACAGGGTGTTAATTAAGTAGTATCTGGCCAACTTCAGGACGCGATTCTTTGAGTGTTTTTAAGGTAAAAAGTTAATTTAAACATGTGTCCGGAAATCCATAATTTTAAAGATACAGGGTGTCAAGATGTTTCCTAATAGACATTTTTTTATTAACATCTCAAAGATCCGTTGGCCGATTTTATTGAAATTTCGCCGTGTTGTGAACTTTGATAAGTTAGCACTAATTAAATGATAATAATTATTATTTACAACAATATTCAAACGGTAAAAACTTATCAACTTATCCCAATAAATATTTGACAACGCCTTGGATTCATTTGTTTTAACGCCTGTTGGCGGTGGAAACCATGCAAGCTTTTTCTTTGTCCTAAGTTGTTAATTAAAAAAATAATAATCATACAAAAAAATATGGTAATTAGTCTAAATTTATTATTTATGTAATTATGCTCTTTCTCGTATAATTTGCCCCTTACGGAAATAGTTAGATTAAAATAGCCAAACTGTACCAACAACCCATGCCTTGATATATTTTCTTTTAAAATAATAGGGAGTTTTCGTTGCTTTAAAAAAATTCAACGGTACGGTTAACAGATACGTAACCATAACCGCTATTTTGACAGATAAAAAAACAGTTTTCGGACTTTCGCTTCATCGGTTCGGAGCCGACATACCATACGATAACCGAAACGCTGAGCACAGCCCGTAGCGTAGTGTTTTGATTTTTGGTTTTTGTATTGTTGTTTGATTTGAAAGTGCTTTATATGACTTTATTGGGTATCGCTATATAGGATGGACAATTTAATTTTATTGGACTCTAGTGATGAATCGGATTTGGAGGATGCTATGCTGTTGGAAGGGTTTGAAAACAACATCGAATATCGAGCAGAACTTTATGGGGAGTTCAACCTAGAAATATTATCTGACCAAGAGTGCAAAGCTTGAAAAACTTCCGCTTTGAAAAAAAAAGACATTCCTCGATTAGTTGAAGCACTAAGAATTCCCAACGAGTTTAACACAGATAAAATAAATAATCAAAACATAAACAAAATAGAATGAGGTTAGGTTAGATCTGTATTTTTCAATGTTGTGTTTCTACTGCGCTAGTGCGCATGCGTACCGCTATGTTAACGGCTTTGGCTAACGTCCGTAAAATATCGGCAGCTAGCGGTTACGATATACGATAATCGAAATTGAAATGTCAAAGTTGTCAATTAGCGTTAACCGGAATTGCAATTTGTAAGCAACGAAAACTCCCTAATATCGCTTTCTTTATCCGCCGGTCCAGATTTGAACGGCCTTGCCCTGTTCGCTCATCAATGCAGGCTCTATCGACTTAAGTACGTGTTGACAGGCAGGTTATTGAACCCATGTTGCTTCTAGCATGTCGTTTTTTCAAAGATGGGTCCCATATAAACGCGGTCAGAAGTATTTTCAATACTAAAAATATTTTTTTTGAGGAGAGGAAAAATCTTTCAAAGACATCTATCGGATGTTCATGACAGATAGTATGGGATTGCCACCCACATTTGACATCATGACCACTAGAGGTTTTGAACTAAACTTCAAATAGGGAATTTGGAAAATAAATGATGAAGGAGTGGTTCTACATCGAAATTTTGTATATAAAAGCACTATAAATATATAATATATGATCGAAAAAAAAAACGGTGTCACCAATGGCTATGCAATGAAGACCGCTGTCATTTTATATTTAAAATTACATGGGGAATGTCATGCAAATCAACCGGACGCCGTTTTTTTCGGTCATACCGTATGTAATTAATAGTATACCTAATAGTATTGTTGCGGACTCAACCCTCGGAATAATATGCCCCATCCCCATTTAATCTGGCGGAATTCGCCAGAAAGAAAGCGGCTAAGAAAAGACTGGAACATTCTGGTATCTTTGTCTTTGGATAAACCGAGGCCTATGCGAGGAGGACAGAAACAATCGGTCATGCTCGCGCCTTTTAAAATAAATTCAAATATATCCCTTTTTAAATAAATAGTAGTAAATAAGTTTGTAAATAGTTCTTTAAGTGTTTTATTGTTATTATTTTGTTACTTAGTGTAAAATAAATTGTGTTTAAATAAATTATACTTTCTATCCACACGGAACCGACGAAAAACGTAACAATTGGTGTGAAGTGGCGTGTGTGATGTGTGATAATAGATAACAGACTAGATAAATAAAAAGACTAAAAATGGCTTCGAAAAACTTGTTGAAAGATTTGAAAGTGTCTGAATTAAAATGCATATTGGAATAGAGAGTGTGCGAGACAGATGGAAAAAAAGCATTCTGCAAGCCAGATTTGTTGTAAGAGATGTTGTTGACAAGAGATGTTCGAGGAAGGTGAGGATCCTGATACATTTTGCTTTGAGTTAGAAGGTGAACTTGCCTCGTCATTGAAAAATTTGCAAGACAATTTAAACGACAATTTGAATAGCAAGATAGTTAATTTAGAAGAAAGTTTATACAACAAGATAACAGAAAATTCCAGGAAATTAGAAGAAAAGACTATAGAGAATTTTACGGAGCTACAAGATAAAATAATACAGATTGAGGACGATGTAAACAGAAAGGTAGAAATTTTAAGGGCCGAAATAGCGAAGGCGAATTCACCAACACAAAAGTGGTGAATGAACACAAGCCTCCACAGTTTGATGGAAAAACCGCTTGGGCCAACTATTTTAAAACTACGCCACTGGATTGTGCCTAAAAAAGTCCCTTAATAACGTTTTTACAGAATTTTATTATTCCGCAAAATAAAAAAAGTTATGGGCAATTTTCAAAATGGTAAAAAATTCCAAAAGACCCCGTATCTCAGTTGGCAGTGAAAATATCAACAGGCGGCTTACGCCATTAAACGTTTCTCAAAAATCGAGCCCATGACATCTATGTCGGTTTTGCTCTATCTAGTAAGGAAATAGGTTTTCTCTGTTAAAACAGAACAATTTCGACCACCCTGTACATATGGCATCTATCCGCGAAGTTTATAAGATCTAAGGTAGAGTAAACGCCACGAATGTTTGGGAGTGATTCATCGCTTGATGAAGTTAGAATCGACACGCGCGCTATCATTTTTACATTAAAAACGTAAATTTTTACCGCAGACGTAGGTTTTAAAGGCCCGGTCTAATCATCTGCCTGCACTTCTCCTACTTATTCTAAAATGTTAGCGTGATTGACAAAGACGATACTATATCGCGTTTCTTTGATTGACTCGTTTTTGTGCGTCAGTCCATTGGTGTGCTTGCAGTACGACCAATGGGGCATTCCAATTTATATTTATAACCAAATATATGTTTTGACAAGACTTTGACAGTTAAAACAACAAATTACAACAGATTATATATTGATTATTATATGACTTGAAACACCACGGCACTGGAATTAAGTTTTATGTAACCTTGAATAGATTAGTTCACATGGTAGCGACCGATGAATCACTCCCAAACATTCGTGGCGTTTACTATATTAGGTACATAGGTACTAACATGCTGTAAGCCGCATTGGCTGGCTTATCCGGTACTTTGGGACCTAGGGTAGACGGTACTTCGTATTTATCAGGTCCAGGGGTCAGATACGGTTTGAATCCTTGATGTCTGGACGCCATAGAGTAAGCTGGAGGTCTGGGTTCTTTGGTGCGGGGGGCTTTCTCGGGGGCGTAGGTACCAGGTCCGGGTGTTTGAAAACGACCTGAAATCGATATGCTTTATTATACAGTGTGTTCGTAATAATTAGCCTTATGCAGAAAAAAGTTTATTAATGGACAATTTGCATGAATTTTTAAATTACTTGAAACATCATCTATTTACGTATTTCTATCCAGTATTTGAAAGTCACCAGCAAATATAGTTTTTAAAAAATGCTAAAAATATACTAGATAATTAACTATTTTAATCGTTAATTTGTATTGCATTTTTAATTTTTGTTTTTCTTGTTGTTTTGTAATAGAGGTCAGTTAAAGTTATTAGAACTATGTAGAATCGGGAATTCTATAAGCACCATAGACTTAAAATAAAATATAGACTGAGCATCTCATTCATAAATAGCTGGAACATGCGGTCAGACAATGTCTTGTTATTGTTGTGTTATTGTTTTAGGTTATAACGAGTGCGACACGAGCGATAGATAGGTTGTCTCTGTCGTAACGGTCGTTCCCTGACACAGAACACACTAAAGAAGAACGCTAACTCCCATGCATTTTTTAGTTTGAAAACGGTTTCAAATTTGTAAAGAAATCTGTAATCTGTATATTGAAGTGGCGCCATCTAGCCACCCAGGAAAGTAACAAATGTGGCGGCAAATTTAAATAGATCCAATTTATTTTTAAGCAAGACGTATTGACTTGTTCGCCAGTTAGAGCCAATCAGATTTCTACAAAATAATGTGTAGTCATCTGATTGGTCCCAAGTTGGCAAACAAAGTCAAATGGTAAAAACAAGGATTTATATATAAAAGTTAAACCAGGTTAAGCTTATTGTAAAGTGTTAAATGGTTTGCTTATATCATTTTATGTGCATAAAACCTACAATAAATAATTTATTTTAATTTACAGAAAATTATACCATAAAACATTTTACAAACAAATAAAACAACAGATTAAAAAGTATAATATTTATTATAGTACCAGATTTAAGAACACATAACAAATATCGTTGGAATACAAGAGAAAGTGAAATTGTTCATCCTATATAGCGATACCCAATAAAGTCATATAAAGCACTTTCAAATCAAACAACAATACAAAAACCAAAAATCAAAACACTACGCTACGGGCTGTGCTCTCAGTCAGCTGTCAGTTTTCGGTTATCGTATCGTATGTCGGCTCCGAACCGATGAACCGAAAGTCCGAAAACTGTTTTTTTATCTGTCAAAATAGCGGTTATGGTTACGTATCCGTTAACCGTACCGTTGAATTTTTTAAAGCAACGAAAACTCCCTATTGTTAGATAAATCAAAGACCTTTAACTTAAACCTTACCTTTAATAGAGATCTTAAAAATCAAACACAAAACAAAGTTCAAAAAAATTCAAAAATACAAAATCACGATTTTAAAATGAAGATTGCAAAAAACACAGCCAAACAACCAGAAAACAGCGAAACGCACATCTCCGTTTAATTGCAAAACACAACTGAAGAGGAAGGAGGAAGCCGGAAACGGAAAACTGATTTGACATACAGAACAATGACAGAACATAATTAATAGGCCTATTTAGGCAACTATAAAAACAATTTTGTACGCAATTGTTAGGCAACTAGAAAAATTAAAATAAAAATACGCCATCTAGCGCCCCAGGAAATTACTACCCCAAAAACAGATCGTTCAAGGTCGTATATCTCAGTTGACTGGCCCTGTTCCCTGACGACTCTGCCGAGAAACACAACACTGTCTTTCGTTTCTCAAGTACACCTGAACCACGGCATATAAATCACACGGCAGGCTAACTCGCTTTGGCGGGAACGCTACGCGCATATCCTCGCGCACGCCGCCATTTGCGTTTCCATCAACAGAAAGTAACCAGTGTCGTAGTTTTTTCAGCGACAACACACAGTTACGGCAGATTCGAGTCAGTAGCGTGCGGCTTAATTTATTTTGATTTTTTCTTGAGTGATATATTTTGTTTTTGTTGTTTTATTTTTGTTTATTATGTGATATATTTGGTTTTTCTAGTTTTATTTTCGTTTCTTATGTAATATAGTTGCCAATAGGTGCCCGGTAGCGAAGAGGTACAGGCTCTCGTCTACCAATCTCAAGGTTGTGAGTGGGTTCGAATCCCACACCCGGCATTTCATCAGCCGACAATTTTTATTAAAATAAAAATAGTTTGGGTACCTATGTCGACTCAGCCTTAAATGAGTACTTGGGATTCACAATCCTGAGGTAATAATAGGCGGTTGAAGCGTAGTGCTAGCCACATTACCTTCCTTTGTATACCGAATGGCTCTAGTATGGCAAGCTGTACCTTGGTACTCCCAAGGCGTCAAACGCTATATACGGGAGCTATTATTATTATAATGTAATATAATTTGTTTTAGTAGTTTTATTTTTGTTGTTCAATAAAAGTTTCTTTCTGTTTCCTATAGATCCTATTAGGTATGTATATATGTGATTAATTATAACATATTTTAGTTGTGAAAAAAAAACAGTAGTATACATATTAGGACATTCAGCTAAATAGGAAGATCTAATTAAAAATCTTAATAAACTTTAATATTAGTAAGATTTAATGTTAAATATTTAGTAAAATAAAATTTAATGTTGTATCTAGAATCTAGACATTAAAAATTAAATTTAAAAATCATTATATTATTCATTTAAATATAATTATAAAAATAAATAAACTGATTATATCGAAAATAAGTTAACAATACATTTTTAGGGCAAGAACATGGGCAATTGCAGCTAATTAGAGAAGACTTGATTGAAGATATAAATAAGGCCCACAAGTACAGGTTGTGTTCTGTTCACTTTGAATTTAAAATGTTTACCAATTCACTTTGTAACCGTATAAAATACAATGCGGTACCTACTGTTTCCTGCCATGAAAAAAATAGAAGTTTCTCAAAAAAAATTGTGGATTTATTAATTTGTGAAATTTGAATATTAATACAATTTGCTACGCCCATTGATGGGCATAATTTGTACGTAGCCTCTTTATATTGTTCAATAAATATTTTATTGGTATTTCTTTAATTCTTGTTTGTAACTCCTGGCATGTTTTTGTTAGTTGCATGTTTTTTTAATTTTAATTGTCTATTCTCTACAGTGAAATATTTAATTGATTTTTTCATTTTTACTTTTCGAGAAGTATGCGCGGTTAACGATTCATTTGTTTGGACAAAAGTATAGTAAATAAAATTCAGTTTCAGTCAATTACAGTATTTTTTTAATACGACCCTGTCGTATTTTCTGAGAAATTTTTTGATACGTTTTAATCCGGCCCTGACTTGGAAACCATAATGGCGCCGACAAGGTCAAATTTTATAGAAATTTTAAACAATGGAATCTGAGGGTGCAGCCACACTATCTTAAAAACGGCGTATCGGCGTAACGGCGTAACGACCTTGAATCGATTTCCAGTAATTCTATTGGCTGAAATTTTTGACAGATGAATTTGACAGATAAAATTTCTGACAGATGAATGTTTCAGCCAATAGAATTACTGGAGATCTATTCAAGGTCATTACGCCGTTACGCCGATACGCCGTTTTTAGGATAGTGTGGCTGCACCCTGAGTAGAATTAGCGTGCCGATTGTTTTATGTGCCGTGCCTGAACTCTCCGTATCATAGCCGGGTATTTTTTTTTTATTTTAATGAAGCTATAATTAAATTAAAAATATATCATATTTAAACTTTTTTATATTTTATTAAGATTTAGGAGAGGTTTTTTAAATAAAAGTTTAGAAAAAACGTCTTAGAGTCCAAAAAGGATAAAAATAATAAAATACACGTTATAGAAGAAGTTTTATAATCGAAATTACGTAATTTTTGAAATTAATAATAAATTATTAATTTTAGTCAAACATTTATAACCCCTAATATTAATCAAAACAGGATCTATTCCACAGATATAATAGAATCGGCGACAGGGAGAGAAAAAAAATATGATTGTTGTAACTTTTTTTCTGGTTAAGTGATGTCTTATGTAAATTAGAGAAAACATAAATTTGTTCCATTAAAGCAAGGAAGGTGATAGGAAGTGGATAAAATGAAAACTACATTTATTTAACTCGGTACTGTCTTTATTATACCGGGTGCGTCCCAAAAGTGGCTCATCCCCCATAATTTTTTTATATTTTCAAATAAAAAAACAAGATTTAGTATGTTAGTATATGACATAAATTAGGATTGATTGACGCATTCAATTGTTTTTGGTCACTTCCTGTTTCACCGGAAATGTCTATAACTTTTAATTTTTAAACGGCACTCTCGGTATATTTCTACTTTATTCGATAGAAAATGACACTCTGGATAGAATGACATATCATATGTCAACTTTTGACATTTTCGCATATGGACACGAAACCCATTACACGATCAAAACTATTTTTCCAAGGCTCCTTGATTAAAACTTAGTGTTTTTAACAACACCATGGCACCCTGGATTGAAATTTAAAATACGATTTGTTTTTAAGCGACAGTGTCAAAAGTTGACATATGATATGTCATTCTATTCAGAGTGTCATTTTTATCGAATAAAGTAGCAATATACCGAGGGTGCCTTTAAAAATCAAAAGATGTAATCATTTCGGTAAAACAGGAAGAGACCAAAACAATTGAATACGTCAATAAATCTAATTTATGTCATATACCTACTAACATACAAATCTGTTTTTTTTTTATCTGAAAAAATAAAAAGTTGTAGGGGTGAGCCACTTTGAGACGACCCGGTATATTAAAAAATATTGTTTCATAATGTAATATCATTTTAAAATTCTTGTATGTTATTTTAGATTCTGAAGATAATTTTAGAATAAACCGGAATATATTTTTAATAAAAACATTATTAATTATTAACAGGGTTATAATTATGATTTTGTTGCAATGTAAGTAAGTAAATAATGTAATGTAAGAGAAAAAATTCAGATTTACATTTTACTAAAATATTATCTAAATAAGCGCCTTTCTACAACAACGCCACTGACTCCTAATGGGTAAATTGAGAGTTGCCTACCGGTCAAAAGTCGTTTC